GGTTAAGTCACTGGATATCGAGATATGCAGAATTTATTTATTATCTTTTATTCATTACAATATTTATCTGACATAGGAAAAATAGGCGAAAAATATCGATTGGTTAAATCGTATTAAAAAACTGAAGAAATAGCTCAACAAAAGAAATGCAAGAATGTAGACAATATGATAATTTACATCCAACAATGTCAATCTCAAACATAAGCACTCCCCGCCGGCATTTCCGGTATTATACTATTCGCCGACCATATTCTCTTTTATATTTTCTGATATTATACTATTCACCGACCATATTCTCTTTTATATTTTCTGATATTATACTATTCACCGATAATATTCTCTTTTATATTTTCTGGTATTATATTATATTCACCTACCATATTCTCTTTTATATTTTCTGCAATATTCTCTTTTATATTTTCTGATATTATACTATTCACCGACCATATTCTCTTTTATATTTTCTGGTTTTATACTATTCACCGACCATATTGTCTTTTATATTTTCTGATATTATATTATATTCACCGATATATTCTCTTTTATATTTTCTGGTATTATATTATATTCACCAACCATATTCTCTTTTATATTTTTTGGTATTATACTATTCACCGATCATATTCTCTATTATATTTTTTCGTATTATACTATTCACTGACCATATTGTCTTTTATGTTTTCTGGTATTATACTATTCACCGACAATATTCTCTTTTATATTTTCTGGTATTATACTATTCACCGACCATATTCTCTTTTATATTTTCTGGTATTATACTATTCACCGACAATATTCTCTTTTATATCTTCTGGTATTATACTATTCACCGACAATATTCTCTTTTATATTTTCTGGTATTATACTATTCACCGACCATATTCTCTTTTATATTTTCTGGTATTATACTATTCACCGACCATATTCTCTTTTATATCTTCTGTGTTAGTCGGGAATTTCTCTCTAAAACTCAAATAATATTCTATTTTTAGAAAAGATTAAATAAAATAAAAGGAATCAGGGATGAATACAGCCATGTTTTACACACAAAGTTTTCGCTTAGAACTTGTATATTTTTACAGATTTATAGAAAATAACAGACAAAGAGTCTTAAAAAAAAACAACAAAAAAATGAAGATGAAATAAAATGCAGACTTCAGGAGGTTTTAAGGAAACCGGAAACTCATTTTTACGAAGACGGAAGCAGGTGTAAAAATAAACCGGAAATTAGAGCTCTCTGGCCAAGAAACAGAATTCTCCCATAGGTTGATTAGAGAGCAGAATTTTTAGAACCAAAGAGAAAATATTGAACTTTAAAAATGGAGGACAGAGGGTCCCCCCAGCCTCCAGAGTTAGAGACATTCAATACTTGGAACTCTTCCACTCCACTCCTACACATACCCTCCAGTTCAGAACACTACCCTGAGCACCAGCACAACCCGGAGAGATTCAGAAATAACAGATCCACAAAAATCCCTTCTCCGGACACTCTTAAACCCTTCCAGGAGATAAAACCAACTCTAAGCCTAGAGGTTTACCCGGATACCCCTACTCCAGCTGGTAGAAACCCTAAGTACTCTAATCCTTATCCCTATTTTGAGCTCCACTCTGATCCACTGGATTTAGAACATCATGAATTTGTAGAAACAAGAGTTGAAGAAGTGAATGCTGAGACTCCAACCTCAACAAGAGAATATTTGGTAACTATTTAAATGGAATATTAAGATACCAGGCTATCAGGGCGCTTTGCTCCCATCTTCTGTTCGAAGTTTTATTGTAAATCATTCCAAAAATTTCTCTTAATACAATATTTAACATTAGAAAAAGGTTTTCAGATTTAATAATATTTTTCAAATATTTTCAAAATTTTACGACAGCCAACATTTTTTGGAGAAAAATTTTTGTAATTCGGAGCATTCATAAACCTTTCATGGCCGGGGTTAAGTTAGTTGCCTCACACATTTTGGGCCCGATCAGTTCAGTCGTTTTTACTTTTATTACATATAAACAAACAAACAGAACAACAAGCGAAGTAATGTCCCCTTCCCTCCCTCCTCTCTCGAAAATATAGTAAGCCTCCCACGATTCCAATCTTCATGAGTGTTCGCTAAACTGTATACTCCTTCCTTGGTATGGAAAAAATTGCATTAAATAAATAGCTCACATTTACTGTGTTACCAAAAAAATGAGACAATAAAGTCGACATAAAACTTTTGAAATATGACGATATCATGGTTGAATTAATATTCTGTCTTAGATATAGTCTTTTAAGATTGGAGTAAGAAAAAGATAAGTTTGCAATTACAGGGATTCATAAACTTTTTGTGGGTAACCCTGTTTGTGAAAATACAAATATGATATTCTAAAATCTGGATTCAGGAACACATCACATTGACTGTCTTATTTTCAAATGTTTCAAATGTTTCTTTCTGTAGAACTAATCATCAAAAGATGTTTCTTGTAAATTATAAATCATGAAAATATAGACCAAATCTACTCTCTCTGCAATTAGTTTAAAATATGTTTCTAATTCTAAAAAATGGTGCTTTATGTACAATAAGGAAAAATAATCCATGTAAAAAGTACACAACTGACTTTTTTCTATCTTTGCCTTTATTCTAAAACCAAATCTTTGTTTTGAAAGTAAAGTGCAGTATAAAGTGCAGTATATTTTTTCATCTTCTATCTAATGCTCTTTGCTCATATATATACAGGGTTACCCACTAAGGATGAGACTTCAGACTAAATTGTGCGGAATACTTTTGTTTCCTATATTTATGATTCCCTGCAACTATGAACTTAGTTCTTTCTTTACCTAAACATTAAATAATCGAATAATAAAACCTAGGATAGGATCCAGTGTTAGCTCTATAGCTGGCTAAACGGCTAGACCAAATTGGCTGAATTTTTTCAGTAAACATATGGGTACACTTGGGGTAATATAGGCTAAAACTTGATAATTAAAAAAATGTAATTCCATGGGCATATAGAACATCATCAGGATCAATCCAATTTGTTAAGGGTTCAAGGTTGTTGCAGCCTTCAAGAAGTCCTTCTGCAAGTGGAAGAAATTTAATTAGATTCCTCTCTTCTCCTTTAACCCGTTCTTCGGGGTCTCATCATTCATCAACAACACACCTAGATTATCCTAATCAGAGTTCCTACCGCCAGCTAGGAGGGTCAACTAGTCAGATAAATCTTCCGGCCAGCTCGTCCTCTAGACCTGGAGGTCAAATAAACCGATCAATAAGTCACATACCACAGTCAACAAGTCACAATAACCTCACGCAAACTGATCTTATTAAACCCAGGACCACAGTTCACAAATCAGTGAGTGAACTTTTTCATCCAGAAAGGGAACGTACTCAGAGTTCCAGTCGTTTCACCCATTCAAGTCAGAGGGAATTAACATCAGGATCAAGAGAGATCATACCTGGCTCAACAAGTGGCCTTAAAACCCTGACAAATAAACCCAAAGATAGAAATTTAGGATCTCCTGAGGCTGCGTCAGTCACTGTTGGAATTTCAAGGGAGTCAGCAAAAACACATCAAAGGTACCCTTTTTATCATAGTTGAAGTTAAAAAAAAATTGAAATACTATAAATACTATTTTTAATGTGATTTCATTTACAGAAACTTTCCACGATCAGAATCTCTGTTGACCTTTAGTCCATCCGTGCGAAGGTCAACTTCTTTTAACGAACCAAGCCCACGTGCATCACCCAGGTATGCTATAATACTACTGTTTTACAGTAAAGAAATGATCTCCAATTATGCACTTTTGAAATTTTTTCTACAATTTTGATATAAACAGGGAAAATAGCATTTTTTTTATTAAAATATTTACGTTAAAATTCACAGGATTTTACGCTTATTTCCCTTATTTTTATTGCTAAAAGAAAGTTCATTAAAGCATATTTATTGAAAAATGAGACAAAGTAAAATTGTTATATTCCTCACAAATAAATAAAAGAAATAAGATATTTAAAACAAACAAAAAACATCTTGAACTTCTAGACGGGGTTCTCTTCGTCAGAACAGGCTGCCGGGGCGCATAGACAAAGCCGCGGAAGGTTACGGAGAACGACGGAAGGAAGACGACGGGTTTGTGAAACACGTCAATCTTGAGAAAAATCCGCAACACTTTGGGCGAACTCTTGAGAAAGGGCGAAGTGAATCTTTACTGTCAGGGAAGCAAGAATGGAATATTTTTCCAAATTTTGATAATTTAAAGGTAATATTGCCCACCGTGGAGAAATTCATCAATTACAGAATATCTTTTTTTTTAATTATCTTTCATAATAAAGGAACTGAGTTTTTTTTTCACGAACTAAAATGTTCAAATCCTTAAATTTTTAAACATGTTATTGTAAACCTTTGATTTTTCAAACTTTTGATTTTGATCTAACAGAATTAATAGTTTCAAATATCTAAGGTCTACGACATTGTTTTGCACAGATATAAAGATTATTTGGTCTTTGTATTTTTCGTGCTAATTTACATTGTTAGCCATATTGATTTTTTACACATTTTTTCAAACGTCTGAAAGTGTATCAAACAAAAAAAGATCATTAAAAAAAAAACTTTTTAAGGAGGTTTTGTTTGGAGAAAGTAGAACTCTCCTTCCAGGGAGTAATAACAGGTAGTTAAAAAATATTTTTTTTTAAGGGACTGTAAGCGTAATTTTAATAAGAAGCGTCAAACATTATAAAAATCCAACGTATAGAAATCGATAGGTAAAGCAACAAGGCATATTTTCCGGGAAATTTTTTTTTTATATTTTTGAGAAATTAAACGTTTTTGTAAAACATTGTAGCTTATCATTTTTTCTATTTTTTTAACATACCCTAGATACTATACAACTAGATAGAGTAATATGTACATTTGTACTGCTCTCTATTGTGTTTAAGGTCCCCATTATTATGTACTGACAACATAAATGAATAATTATATGGTTACATAAAATTGCGTGTTACTATAATTAATAAAAAACTACTTTATGAAAATGATAAGTAAAGTTTTATATTTACGAAAAAATAGTTTCTTAAAAATATAAAAAAAAAAATCTCCAGTATTGCTTATATGATTTCATAAAATTCCGTGTTACCATTTAAATAAAAGGATTTTATGAAACTTATATCTACTTTATACTGATTATTTAATTTCTCAAAAATAAGAAAATTTTCTCCCGGAAAATACGTCTTGTTGCTATACCGATTTCTATAATGTTTGACGCCTTCTTATTAAAAGAACTGTACACGTAATGACTCTTCAGACAGAGATGGTAATGTCCGATTGACAACAGTGCCCTTGAAACATTTATCTGATTCTGATCAATAATGTGTAAATTATTGTCGTTTTTATAGGTTTAAATCTGTTTAATTCCTTGTTGTTTTCTTGGAGTAGAAATACGTCACTGTATATAAAGAACCCACAATTCACAATAATAAAGGTTTTAAAATTATACATTCATACTTGACCAGACAAAGCTTTCAAGGGTACCGTTGTGAATCGGGCATTGACATCTTTCCATGGAGGGTCACTTGAAAACTCGCTTACAGTCCCTTTAACAATAAAAAACATGTATATAACACATTTTTATTCTAAATTAGCTAATTTGTAGAGGTGCAGTGCAGACTATTATAATCCATATATTTGCAAATAACTCTCCTAATGAATATGCAAAAAATATTCTGATCGATTGTCGTTAGAGCCAAAAAAAAATCTTATTGAATTTTTTACAGCAACCATGAAACAGGATGTACTGATTGTATTTTGCTTATATTTAAACTGTGGACATTATTAAGCCAAAGGAACAAATTCAGTCTTTGTCACACACACTGATTTTCTAATTCGTATATCTTTTCAACGCCATGCCGTATCGGTATACCTTAGATTTTTCAAAATATTAATTCTTATAGATTAAATTATCCAAGTTTGAATTATCAAAGGTTCCAAAAATATAGCGATTATATATACATATATAATATAGCAAAAATTCAATTCCTTTGGCTTTTTTTTAAAGAGGTGCACATTTGTAGTTGATTAATATATCTTATCAATGGTAGTTTTTTGCAGATATAATACTGAACACAGTTCTAACAAAAAATCCGCAATTCTCCCACAAGACAGGAATAAAACATACAACTTCCATTTTAAAATGTATTCTATATATTACATAATACATATGTCTGTGTCCCAAAAAACACATGGAAGACTTTTTTGTAGACATTATAGATCTAAGAACTTAGTTTTTAAAGAAGTATGTAATGAGCAAAATTCTCATAAATTCTAGCGTGAAAGCTTTTAACATTTGGAACACAATGGCAAATCAACTTTTATTTGATTATTAATTGTTTATAAAAAAGTGTCTATTTAGATTTTAATATTGTAGTTTATTTTGTTTATTTTGCATTTGACAGATATTTGGATTTAAAATTTAAAAAAAAAACTTTATTTATCTGTTTTAAAGAAGTATCAAATGTGTAAAATTCTTTTAAGTGAAAAAATCTAATAAAAATTGTTATTCTTAGAAAATACGAAATTCATGATAATTTTTTCCGAAAATTCATTATTTTTAGTCTGAAAAATAGATTATACATTACACACGTCATTTGAGATAATTGTTTGAAAGTTTTTTAAAGAAAATCATTGAAAGCAATTTTTTTATTTGTTTGAATGAATATGTTTATGGATCTAGACGAGGTGTTAGATCTAGTAGAAGTCCAGTTAAAGATGAATTTACAGAATTCAGCCAATACGGGAGCAGGTTCACGCTTAACCAGGTAGCAGAGTTTTTCCAAATGAAGGGTAAATCCCCCATCACCCCCCCCCNTGAAATAGGCTGGTTTCATAATTGACCAATGATCATTTCACATAGACTCTATGCCTTTCACTTTACAAACGATGATTTTCCGTTATAACTATAAATCAAATAATGTTTTTATTCACCTAATTCATTTTATAAAGTTTATTTAACAGTCTTAAAAAATTGGAAATTGAAATGGATAGTCGAGGTAACATAGGTTTTGAATGTACTCTACTGCATATAATTTGTAAACATTTACATGATTTGTACACTTTGAACTCCTTTTCAGGCTGAAAGGGGCTGACAAAATTCATACCGAGGGATTGTCTAAATTCCACTCTAATATATATTCTATTCTTTTTGCCAGGGAATTTACAGACATATCAAACAGTCTTTTATCATTTTCAAAAATAAACTATACAGACATAATTATAGTATGACTTTTTAAATCAGGCATTACAATGTTAGTTCTGAATTCCGATGTTTATTGGGACACCCTGTATAGAAATGTAAATCTATATATTAATAACAATACAAATAGAACACTATCAAATGTCGTCTTTTCAAGTATTAGAGGTTTTCCGTTCATAATAACCCTGCGTTAAATTACAAGACCGAGCGCCGCGGCTAGAACACGAAACTTCCTTTGGCTTCTACCCAAAAGAGTTATTCGCATGCCGCGTTGAATTACAAAACAGAGAGAGAGCATGCGCGTAACTCCATTGAGCTTCTGCCTCAGGGTTATTGTGAATGAAAAACCCTAAATCTTTAAAAGACGACATCTAGTGTTCTATCTGTATTGTTGTTAATATATGCGTAAATCCGCCAAAATAAAAATCAATTTTGACAGAAATAAATCTGATATATGGTTTTTACTAATTTGTATTATTTTTAGACGGATGAAAAAGAAAAAGAGAAAAAAGAAAAGTTAAAAGAGAAGAAAACAGGTGGAAAGGGAGAAGACAAAGAAAAGAAAGAGAAAAAGGTAAGAAAATTAGTAATCTACCAGAAAGTTCCGCTTGCCCCCCCCCCCCCTCCTTTTTTAAGAGACAAGGTTGTGTGATTTTTTTATTTTCTATTTATCTCTCTTAACCTAACAAAATGAAAATGAAGTGAAATTTGTCTAAAGAATTGAATTTATCAAGGTTGCTGGAGTGCACAAACCTCCTGCAGGCAAACACCAAGAAGACAGACAAGGAGTTCCTGAAGTGCATGAAGTACATGCAGTACACGGATTTAAGGAAATACCCGGAGCTAAATGCTCTTCTGACAGAAAAGATGAACATGAAAGAAATTTTATCAAAACACAAGCAGAATTAATTCACACAGATAAACATTCAGAAATATCACCAATTCCTCCTCCTGTACAAAGACGACAGAAAGAAAAGTCAGCTGCTGTTCAGGAAAAAACCGCGAAATTCAGCATGGCAGAAAAGTTGAAAATCTCCGAAAAGTTTAGTTTTCGTCCCAAACCCAAACTTGAGAACTTAACCTCAGGGAGTCCATCAATGCATCCCCATCCAACCCATCTTCGCCCCAATATAAAGCTGAAAAGTGTTGGGCATAAATCTGATTCAGATTCTGGATACGGAGATATTAACGCGGTTGCGGAGAACAAGATAAAACAGGTAAACTGTCTGCTTCTTTTCAATCTTTGATAAGTAGAGATAATGTCGTCTTCTTGAGACAGATTTTAGCACTCATTCTTAAAGCTGATTTTTTAAAACTTTGTATACAATAAAATTTACAGTTAAAATCAATTATTATATCTAACCATTAACTATAATAATGTAAAATTATATGAAATTACAGTTTACAATCATATTTTGATTGAATTGTGAATTACAAATATAAGTTTATGCTTTAAACTAATATTAATTAATTACAATATGATGGATGTTCAGATTGATATAGAAAGCGAATATGATCTAATCCAACTTCTCTCCGAAGGATGGATTTCTAAGCTATATCTTGCTGGTAATTTCTCTAATATAATAACATTAAAACTGTTTTCCTCGATCTATTTTATAAATGCTCGGAATTCCTCGAGATGGTGTAAATTAAATGTAAAAGTCCCTCCACAGTTTTCATTCAACTCCATGTAATTCTAACATAAACTACTTCTGTTGGAGTGAATTATAAAGAAAGCTTAACGAAAGCAGTATATTTTATGTTGATGCAGTGTATGTCTAACTGTTGACTGATGTATTTCTACAAAATTATCCAGGGAACATTTAAGTGATGAATTGAGATTTTGACACAAGCTGTGATTTTTTAAACATATCTTTGCATCTTAATGTTGTGGACCTTTAATATTTTAACTTAAAATTATATTTGACAAAAAAGTCTATTACTTTGAAATATCAAAAGGTTGCACCATCAGGTTCTAAAGATACAGAGATTGGAAAATTTGAGTTTGTCGTAAAAACTCAATTCCCTTAAAAAATGCAGGCAATATTTTTAAATGAAGAAATAGCAAAGACTATTCAGTTTATATTAAGAATTCATCACTGCAATTCATAAGGAATTTTCAAGGAATTTCGCAGAATTTTTGTATCGCTTACTGCGTAAATTTACGACGGAATTGTGCAAATTTTTGCACGCCTAGAATTCGCAATTTAAACGCTCACTACAAGACTTTTAATTAAATTAAATTAAATAATATCAAACAACGCATAAAAAAAAACAATACTTATTTTAATTTTTAAAAATTACCCACAAACATTTTTAATTAAAAGTATGTTAAACCATTATTTATTTGATCAGAAAATCGATTGAGCAGAGAAGAGGTCGTCTTGAAAGCAATAAACTCGAATATGATAACTCCTGAAGAATTCTACAGGTAAAAAAAAACTAAAAAAACTACAATAATTTATTAATAAAGGGTGTCCTAGGAAATGGGAATACATTGAGAACATTACGATTAACAATGAAGATGTCTTAGTGTTGGGATTTCTAAAATGTTTGTCAGAGATATAAGCAAACTATTTTAAATAAGCGTTCACATAGATTCAGACTGTTATAAAAAGATGCATCATTTTTAAAGACCAGATCTACTTTTAAGTATTGCAACGCAATTGGTCTCTCATTTTATCTGACTTACTCACCATAAATCTGTCTTTATTAGTCATATTATAAAATAAATAATGTATCAAAGTGGCAATATATAAAAAAGTGTCGATTTGTGGAGGCTGAGGCGTAGTTAACACATTTTAAGTGGATTTGTCCTTTTATGATATAACACACTTTAGAATGAAAAACTTAAAACATACAAATAACAAAAAAACTAAAGGAAAAAAGATTTCAAGATTTTTAAAATCCTTTTTTGTCCTGTGCATTCTACACGACAATGAAGACGACATTTAAAAACGTAATTATTCACTAGGGAATATCAGTTCTCCTCCTTCTTCTCCTCTCACTCTAATATTGTGAAAGTATTTGAAAATGTTTTCCAATCAGATGGATTTTATGTTTTCTCGACTGAGGTAAACAATGTTTCAATTATACAATTCAAACGTAATGTTTAAGGTGTTTAAAGATAGATATACAGGGTTACCCACAAAGGATGAGACTGTAAAGACGACTTGACTATAAATGACGATCCTAAGGAAATGGGGTAAATCAATTCTACTGCATTGAATAAATTCTTTTAATAACTTATTTAATGATTAGACTAAGAAAGAAACTAATTTACAGTTACATGGAATCACGAATTTACAGTTACATGGAATCATGAATTTACAGTTACATGGAATCATGAATTTACAGTTACATGGAATCATGAATTTACAGTTACATGGAATCACGAATTTACAGTTACATGGAATCACGAATTTACAGTTACATGGAATCATGAATTTAAGGGAAAAGACAATTTAATTTCGTCTTAGAAATCTCAACCTTTTTGGGTAACCCTGTATAAAATCAAATGATTTTAGATTTTATCAGATAGAATTGGTTCAAAATCTTCTCTTCTCGATCTTTTTCTGATTTGATTTGATTTGAAAATAGAATAAGATTTGGAAATTACTCAATTTATTACATCTCGCAATTTTTTTCTTTTTTTTACGTCTTATAATTATTTTTATGTCAAAAGCTAAAACTGTTAGGGTGTTTGAACATCTAAAAAATACATTTTGAGCCTGGTAAAATACGAAATCAAAGAAAATTTATTTTGGAATGTTCTTTTAGACTTTTTTATATTACTTTATTGTTTTTTAAGTATGCTCCACTGGGGGATTTAAGCAGCAACATAGGAGAAGCTGGACTTGGGGAGCTCTACTCTAAACGAGTAGCAGCTCAAGTAGCAGCAGCACTGGGATACATTCATTCTAAGGTTACATATCTTTATGAGTCAAGAATACGTTTTTTTAATACAATTCTTTATTCATATATATACAAGGAATTATTGCCGTTTTTGCTTTACTTTGAATTATAAATGGCATGATAGGGAGAGAACCCCCGGACGCCATGAGCCTCTGCTTTGCAGACATCGAGCCTCCCAGATTCGCTAGGCAGACCGAGCCTCCACTATGTATCGCTAAGATCAAAGATTATAAAAGATAAATTTTTTTCTAAATATTTTCCTTTTCGTGTAATAAATGTTTAAAGTTTTAGATACCACTTTATTAGTCATAACTATTTATGATAATTAATCAATACTGCTCATCTTTGAGAAGCCTCTCATGCCACTATGTCTAAAAATTTCAAAAAATCTTTTATTTAAACTTAAAACACAAGTTTCAAAAAACAAAGCGGAGGCTTGGTCTGCCTAGCAACTCTGGGAGAATCGTGTCTGCATAGCGGAGGCTCATGGCGTCCGGGGTTTCCCTCCCTCGGCACGAAGGGCTTTGAACTTACAATAGTTATAACTGATATATTATGTTTGCAGAAATGTCCATTGTCCACATGTTTAATTGGATATACAGTTACAGATTGTAAAATTGTTATCGATTACTTCATAAATGGATAAAATAAAGTGCAATAGTTTGTTGGTAACACTTCCCAGGGTTGCCAGCCCTGGTTTTTCTTACCTTATTGGTGTGTTTTTTGCCCTGACGGGTATGTTTTTTTTATCAAGGTAGGTGTTATACTGGTGTTTTCTTATTATTCACAAGAATCATATGATTATTACAGAACAAATCTGTGTAATACCAGTTGTAAGAAGTACAAAGAGTGCTATTGGTGTTTTTTACTATCAAGTTGGTATCTTTTTATTCCAGGTGGTTGGCAACCATGATACTTCCTACACCGCTACAATCATAATTATGATGTAAATTTTTAGAATTTGTGTCATCTGAACGTGAAGCTAGAAAACATTCTCGTTTTCCAATCTGACTTTTCTCTGGTTAAAATGGCAGATTTTGGAGCAGGTGACGCCATTTTTTCGTTGGATTTTATTTTTCAGTGCTAAGGTTTTGAAGATTTCAAAAGTGGGCAATCTCCAGAAGGTATATTTCATTCTTTTCTATTTAATTGTAATATATTTTTCAACTTTTACAATTACAAGAACGAAGTTATGGGATATAAATAAAAATGTGATGGTATAAAATTACTCTCCCAAAAATCATTTTAAAATTTTTAAAAAATAATCACATTTCTGCTCTTAATGGTCATATGAGGCACAAAATCTAAGAACAGTAAACTTTAAATGACAAGTTTTAAAAAAATAAAAGAACCTATGTCAGAAAGTGCCGGAAAAAAAGTTTCTGGAAAAAAACCTGGAATTAAAAACTTTGGAAAAAAATTCCAAATTTTCTCAAGTCCTTGGAAAAAATGTCACTAGAAATAAAGTCCTGTGTTTTGGATTCCTGAGACTTTTTTTCCTAAAATAGTGTGGGGGGCTGCCAATAAAGTCTCAGGAAATAAGATCTCAGGAAAAAAAGTCCCGAAGAAAATAAATCCGAGGAAAAGAAAAACCTAGAATAAAAGTCCTAAGTCTCGGGAAATTTGAACTCAGTAATTTAAGTCTGCGAAAAAAAAGTTCTGATAAAAGTTGTGTATAAAATCCATAGAGAATAGAATATATAGAGTTGAATTAAAAGAATCTCTCGGTATGAATTTTTTCAGTCCCTTTCAGCCTGAAAGGGAGTTCAAAGTGTACAAATCATGTAAATGTTCACAAATTATATGCAGTAGAGTACATTAATACAGTATGTTCCCTAGACTATCCATTTCAATTTCGAATTTTTTAAACTTTTAAATAAAATCATCGTTTGTAAAGTGGAAGGCATAGAGTCTATGTGAAATGATCATTAGTCAATTGTGAAACCAGCCTATTTCATAATTTGGTTTTCTTTTAACAATAATTTTAGATTTTCTATAAAATGATATTCCAGGCCCCAACAGGTTATATAGCATAAATATGTGAAGTACACCTGCAGTATGGAAACAGTACAACAAAATGGCCGTTTTACACTTTTTTCTAGTAAATTCCTCTCTTTATATTCTATTCTCTATGATAAAATCCCCCGTATACAAGTGTCATATACAGGGCTAGTTTTATATTCTTAAGTAATATGAAAAAGAAAATGCTAACTAAACTCGTGATAAATATATATTCATATGTAATAAACATATTTTATATTTCTTTTTTGAAAATTATTTACCCTTGCAATTTGGAAAATGAGGTTTAGTCCGAGAACTTTTCATAAAAAGGACTTTTTTCCATATTGAATATAAAGCCAGGGGTGTTTAAATATCAAGCCCCTGAAAACCTACGATTATTGATAGGATGTCTACAACCAGGACTTTTTTTCCATTGTGAATCATGCATTTTCAGTTGTTAGATGACTTTTTTATCGAGGACTTTTTTTGTATAAAATCATACTGGAGCCAGAAAAAAAGTCCTGGAAAATAGTCTCGAATTGGTAGGACTTTATTTCCGGAGACTTTTTAATAAAAGGTCTTTTTTTCCACAGGACTTTTTTTAGTGTGAAATTTAAGGACTTTTTTGGAAACTTATTTTCCAAGGACTTTTTAGGCGGTTATCAAATAAAAACAGCAAATAGATGAATTTTCTTCAAAGGCTACCGATAAATAAAAAATATAGCCTGTAGAAACTGTTTTTTGCTGCACCCTATCCTGTAACCAGCCCGGTAGTTTAAAACAATATTATGCATTGTTAAGAGTACGAAGTGTGTCCCGTTAAACATGATAATTGAGCTAGACGACAGCAAAATCGTCTTTGATCAAGGAAAACTATCAATTAATAAAATGTGTTCTTAAAAAATTGTTCCTTTTTCGTGGCCGTACAATCTACTTTTGATACATACTTTGTCTTTAGATAGTTACGTCTAAGACATCAGAGTGGTCATTTTTCATGGGACACCATGTATATATATACAGACACCCATTTTTATCCGCTAAGTGACAGATCAGGTTTTTCCTCCTACAACATCTGTACGCAATAAACTCAGTCTTGAGATCACGTGTGTTGCCATGTATGAAATATGCATGAAATGCGCACCCGAGCCTGAAACTTAAGATGCAGAGTAATAAAACCCAGTTTCGGAAACCCTGTTTCATGAATAGGGTCAGACAGTTTTTTAGATCATTAATATTTGTTAGGAAATATTATTTCATGTGGTTTCGTCAAATTCTCTTCTTGTTTTCTGATTTCTTAAATTAAAATCTACGCAAATGTTAAGAACCCATTTTTAAGTTTTAAATTTTTAAACCATTGAGAGATTTATAAAGGAATAAGGTTAACATTTTTTTTAAACATTAACAAATATTTTAAACATAGCTCTGCATGGCTGAACCTGAAATGTTTTACTTAATGTTTGTGATTTAACAAAAATAAGTTCAAGTCCTAAAACGTTTAAAAAGTATAATTTAAACAACCCTCTCTCTTCGATTCTACGTAAAACCTTTGCAATTTCCAATCTATCATATGAAAAAAAGGTTTTTTAACTTTTAACCTGTTACGCAGATTTTAAATATTCTCGATGAGAATTTCAAAAATTTTAAATTTTATTAATTAGATATGAACAAAGTTGTCGTGGTGATTTTTTATAATTTACGAAAAAAAACTTACAAGTAATAAAAAAGCGGTAACCGCTTAAAAAATAATCGGAAAAACAGTCGTGTGGAAAAAGTCCTTGAAATATAATGTCTTTGGACCTAAAGTCCTACTTTTTAAGGCCTTATTTTCTAGGACTTTTTTGGTTCCAGTATGATTTTATAAAAAAACCTCCTTGAATATATATTCAATAATAATAAACACCCTTGTCTATATTCAATAATAATAAACACCCTTGTCTATATTCAATAATAATAAACACCCTTGTCTATATTCAATAAAAAGTCCTTTTATGAAAATGTCCCAGACTTTTTTCTTGGTTTTATTTTTCTTCCTGGTTTTAGTTCCTGTGATCTTATTTCCTGAGACTTTATTTGCGGCCCCATTTTTAGGGAAAAAAGTCCCAGTAATCTAAAACGCAGGACTTGATTTCCATTTGTATTTTGTCCGATGACTTCAGAAAACTGAGACTTTTTTACCAAAGTTTTTATTTCCAGGTTTTTTTTCAGAAACTTTTTTCCTGTGACTTTGTTGTAACATTATAATTAGAAGACAGCGCCAATTGTGCCACAAAAGCCAACTGTATAATATAACTCCAACTTAAAAGCTAATTCAGTTGCTTAAATTGAATTATCCTTGTTAAGATATCACATGTAATACCATGTGTATCCCATTGACTCACCTAGAATTGCACATTGTATCCGCGCTTTACTTTAATTCCGAAAACGTGCACACTTTGTTATATAAGCTTGAAACGTTCACGGTGCACTTATATTTGCAAGTTTGGTTTTGCACATGATTTTAAAACTTTTTAATATAATTGTTGCTGTTTTTTGTTTTAAAAATAGGAAAAATATCAGAGATATCTGAAGATAATAGTTACGATTTGGGGTATTTTATATTTTATCATTTTAGTTTAATCATACATATTTCACGAGAAACGAAGTTTTGGTTTATTTCTTTTTCAATCTTAACCTTTTCAATAAGGATTTTGTATCATTATAAAGTAAGGTCGTAGATACAGGCAACAGTGTTATCAACAACTAGGATGAGATTTTAATGACAACCTAAAACTATAGAACAATATTTAAGGGCGGACTTTTGTTTTTTGTAATGCATACTGTTCATACAGGGTGTCCCAAAAAACATGGGAATTCAGTGACGAATTCGATATCGTCTTTGTTATTGATTAGCATTGTAATACCTAATTTCAAAAGCCATAACATTATTATGTCTGCTAGAGTTTATTTAATGAAAACGGTAAATGGCTGTAAAGATGTGTCTATAATGTCTCCGCAAGATGAACAGTGAAGACGGACAAGTTTACTCTGTTAGTATACTATGATTTTCTTGTTTTACTAAGTACAACCGCGTATGCAGTCAAAACATAAACAAACAAAATGTGAACATAGCAGATGAAACTCTTACAGATTACAGCTTTCTCAGTAAGTTTATTGGGACACCCTGTATCTGAACTAATTATTTTTTTAGTGATATATTATATTAAAAAATAATAATCAACTGGCCTATTGTTCATCTTAACTAATTTTATTTTTTTAGTTAAAACTGTTGGAGATATAATACTTAAGAAGAATGATCAACTGTTCTATTGTTCATCTAAACTAATTTATATTTGTTTAGTTAAAACTGTTGGAGATATAATACTAAAGAAGAAAAATCAACTGTTCTACTGTTCATCTAAACCAATTTTATTATTTTAGTTAAAACTGTTGGAGATATAATACTAAAGAAGAATGATCAACTGTTCTACTGTTCATCTAAACTAATTTTATTTTTTTAGTTAAAACTGTTGGAGATATAACACTAAAGAAGAATAATCAACTGGCCTATTGTTCATCTAAACCAATTTTATTATTTTAGTTAAAACTGTTGGAGATATAACACTAAAGAAGAATAATCAACTGGCCTATTGTCCACCTGAATTAGTTGGAAAGCATGCCAAAGAATATTATCAGGTAACAGACAAAAGGTCCGGCCTATAGTGTTAACAAATAATACTAAAGGTCCGGCCTATAGTGTTAACAAATAATACTAAAGGTCCGGCCTATAGTGTTAACAAATAATACTAAAGGTCCAGCCTATAATGTTAACAAATAGTACCAAAGTCGTTTTCGAGTATGACCTTATGTCTTTAAGGTTTTCAGGCTTATGTAGAACCTTCTTTCAACTTATCATGTCATAAGTTCTATAATATCAGAAGTCATTGTTTAATTAATATCAAATGTCTTTAACATTAGGCTGCCAAGATGTAAATATTAGAAAATAAATGTTCGAGGAGTGTTTTACAGATTTAAAGGGACTGTTAGTTTAATTTCAAGTTTATGCACAGATGACAAATGACAATGCACAATTTTCAACGGTAAACCTGGAAAGCTTTTTCGGATCAAGTATTAGATATATTTATTTATAAAACTTTTCGAAACAGAAAGAAGACAATATCTTCCACATAATTGATCAAAATAAGGTTTCAAGGTACCATGGTAAATCTTTGCACGAAGGGCAGGGTCACTTAAAATTAACTTAACAGTCCCTTTAAACGACCTTCTTGCAACTAATGGTCTATATACAGGGTGTCCTACGAAACATGACTTAAAAGTCGTCTTTGATCTTGGAATTTATTTGCAACATTCAGTCGTCAAATGGTCGTCAACCACATTTAACATGTACAATAACCACAAAATTCTCCTAGTCCTGGCATTTCCAAAATGTGTTTCAGATTTGAATTTTTGTAAACAAAGTTAAAAAACCAAAGTTGTCGAAATCTGAAAGAAATTCTCCATATCTCGGTTAATATTGAAAGCACAAAAAAGGCAGACATCATTTTGGAAATGCTAGGACTAGGGTTATTTTGTGATTACTATCTCTAGAATTTTACTTCTAAAATTGGGTTGTCAAGTAAATGCAGCAAATAACATTAGCAATCAAAGACGACGTTCAAGTCGTCTTGCTACTGTCTCGTGTTTCGTGGGACACCCTGTATATAACCAGGTTGACCGGGTCCAGGATGTATTCCAGTTTGGTATTGTACTGCTGTATTGTCTGCTGGGTGTACTACCCTGGCAGAAACCAGATAATACAGATTCAAACTTTAACCAGTTCAGTTTATGGCGAAGAAAAAAATCAAGCAAGGTAAAAAAAGAGAAAAAATTAAAATTAAAATATTTTCCTTCCACGGTTCATAAAATTTTCGTATTTTCATAATTTCAATTAGTTCCATAATTCTCATAATTTTCCTCAAGTTTGTTTCCAAGTTTTTATATTCTTTGCAAAATTTCAATAATTTCATAATGTCAATGATTATCTTTAGCTCTTTAACCTCCATGATTTTAATAATTTTTATAAATTTCTTTAAACTTTCATAATTGTTCGAAAAATTATTCTTTTTTCCAGAAAGTTGTTTTATGAAGGATTTTTTAAACAGTTTATATTAAAACGCCATTTTAGATCCCGCGGCCCTTCAAGGGTTTAACTGCAAGATGCCAGAAGCTTTTCCGGAAAATCCTGGATCCGGATCCGGAACGACGCGTTCCTATTTCCGAGCTACAGAAATATCTGGAAGACAGATGGATCAGGTATGAAGAAAGGAACATTTTGATGAATGGTTTTATGAATTTTAATGATTTTGGAAGAAATTTGATATTATCGATTCAACACGATTTTTTACATGGGGCTGACGCTTTTTCTTTAGAGCCTCCATGGGGAGGGAGGGAACCCAGGTCGCCATATGCCTCCGCTATGCAGACACTAGCCTCCCATAGCGGAAACTCTTACTGCATGGCGGAGGCTCGGTCTGCCTAGCAAATCTGGGAGGCTCGTGTCTGCATGGTGGAGGCTTATGGCGTCCGGGGAATCCCTCCCTCCCATGGGCCGGGGCGTATACGAGACTTTGTCCAGGGGGGGGGGGGGTTAAAAAAATGTTCTTTCCAGGAAGGTGTGGAGGAAGAGCTCAGAAAAGGTTGGGGCCTATAAAAGTAAAACCCTGGAAGATGGGTCATATAAAACCCTGGAAGTAGGGGGCAGGGCCTATAAAACCCTGAAAACTATAGATATCACTGATCCCGGGGGGTGGGGGGGTCTGAGCCCCCATAGCCCCACTCCCCCTCTCTCTCTCCCTTGAATCATTACCAGAGACCAATCAATTTCATCGGAGACTCATAGTTCAAAGGGAAGACATCTATTTTTTTTAATGCTTACTTTGTATGTATATTGAATAGGTCTATTTAACCACGATCGAGGACCGTGGGGGGATAGGGGGATCTTACATGCAAATTATTCAATTTCAGAAAATTGAGATTTTAAACCATTCATATTTCATACTTAGTAATTTTCTTTCAGAAATTGTCTAAATTCAATCATGCATTTATGAGCATCACATGCAGCATTCAGAATGCATCGTTCTTCTTTCATTTTCCTTATTTAAAGGAATTAGTTAATAATTGCTTTACTCCAGTCATAATTTTCTTATCCTTATATTCTTGCAACCTGATGGTGTAAACCTTAGATGCTTCAAATCTTGATTATTGACTACTTATTCTGTTACATCAAATCATCTAACTTTGAAATATCGAAGGATTCAACCATTAGGTTGCAAAGCTAGTGGCAAAGACTCAATTTCTGTTTCTTTCTTTCCTAATTTTAAAAATTCGTAAGCACTTAAAAATGCAATTTAATTTTAGAACAATTATGATTTCTGAAGTACAGTCCTCGTAGCATATGTCAAAACAATGAAGAAAACTTTCGATTTCAATTTCGATTTATATCAAGCTTTAAACAGCGTATACACACATAGACAAAAAGACGCTTTCGATTAAAAAGCTTCTCTTTAATTACTTTTTAACTTGTAATTCGAAAAAAAACTCGTAAGCAATTAAACCCTAAATAATAAAAGTTGACTTGATTGTATTGATAAAAGCGACGACTACTGTATTGATAACATTTTTGTATTTTTTCTTTTAATTTCAGGAAAGGAAGTAAACCAATCCTGGAGGTGAGAACAGGATTAGGAGATCATCATTCACAGCTTACCCTAGGCTCATTCCAGGTAATACAATCAATCAATCAATCAATAAATAAATAAATAAACAAATCAATACATCTATCAGTTAATCAATCGATTGATTGATTAATCAATCAACAAATCTATATCTATCAAATCTATATCTATCAAATCTATATCTATCAAATCTATATCTATCAAATCTATATCTATCAAATGTGCACTCTTAAAATTTCCTTAGCAATCATATTATGTTCGTAATGTCTAACAAATGTTTTTAAAGTTTAGCAATTGTTCGTTGAGTCGAACAAATGTTTTTAAAGTTTAGCAAATGATAGTTGAGTAGAACAAATGTTTTTAAAGTTTAGCAAATGATCGTTGAGTCGAACAAATGTTTTCAAATTCTAACAAATGTTCGTACAGTAGAACAAATGTTTTTAAAGTCTATAACAAATGATCGTAGTGTAGAACAAATGTTTTTTAAGTCTAACACATATTCGTGGAGTAGAACAAATGTTTCTTAAGTCTAGCAAATGTTCGTAGAGTAGATTAAATGTTTTTTAAGTCTAGCAAATGTTCGTATAGTAGAACAAATGTTTTTAAAGTCTATCAAATGTTCGTATAGTAGAACAAATGTTTTTAAAGTTTGACAATTGTTTGAAAAGTCGACCAAATATTTGTAAAAAAAAACAAATGTTCGTAAGGTGGAGCAAGTGTTCGTAAATTTGAACAAAATGTTCATCATTTCGAGCAATTGTTTATAACTTCGAAATGTTTTTTGTAACTTCGATGATACAAACAATTAAATAGTTCATTAAATTGTAGTGTTTTTTTTTCAAACAATAAAGTTCAGTAAGTTCTCAAAACTTGTAAATCTTCGTATTTTTCAGAGTGTACACTCGAATGCGGTTGAGAAGAATCGTGTACTGTACACACTACTGCAGTACGGTGTAGAGACTACTGTAGATAGAAGACAGAAAACTCACAGAATTATGACCTGGATTAAACAGGTAAAAAAGACTGCTTTTATATTCTGCTTTAAAGGGAGTGTCTGGCTAGACATTTTAGTAGAGCTGAGAGTGCCCGCATGCCTGCCCGCAGTTGCGAGCGCCAGGAGGATTTTAAAGATCGATTTTGCGCTCTTACTTAATAATTTAAAACCGTACAAACGTCCTATAGGTCTCAAATGATTTCTAAATAGATTTTCTATAATACTGCACTCTCAGCTCAACTACCATCTAGTGAGACACTCCCTTTAAAGAGATTATTCATTCTCCTTTAAGAAAATTAGTATCCAATCTTTTTGTTGTTATAACAGTCGATTGATTGCGAAAGGATAAGGGTAGCGCTAAGTCATCTTATCTGCGAATCCAGGGTTTTATTAATATTTGGATAAAGATAAAAATGCACAATTTATTAAAGAAAATTCAGCAAAATACAATTTATAAAGAATAAGCATGAAGAGGAACGGTTAAGAGCTAAAAAATGTTAAAAAAAATGTTTTATGAAAAATATTATTTAAAGGGGGCTGAAAGGGGGGACAATCTCTCCCCCTCCTGTCAGAATTTCCCTGAAGAATATATTCCAGAAGAGGTTTATGATACCCAGGTAACATTATTTATATTATTTATATCACGTTTATAAACCATAAACGGTCGTCTTTGATAATGGAAATCATTTTTCGGCATTCAGTCTTCAACCTAATTTCAAAAGTTTCTACTATTATACAGTTAATCCAAGATATTTGAATACATAGCAAGAGTGTTTAATAATGTCGTATTCTCAACATATGTAAGATAAAATATCGCGTGAAAATGAGTTTATTAGATCAATTACTGTCCTTCATATTTCAGGGCTAGTAATTCACCTTGAATTATAAATAAAAAGCGTTTCTTAAGAATTATCAAGAAACTAAATGACTCAACAAGGGTAATAGGATATATTTTCTTAAATTGTATTCAACCCAATGAAGCGGCGAATATCTCAGCTGCTTTCTTTTCGTGCAGGGTAATGATGAAGAATTACAGCTGTCAAAGATTTCTAAATAAATTTCAGGACGACATTCCATGCGCTCTTGCTATGTATTCTTATATGTGAGATGGCTGTTGTTGTTCCTGATTTTAGAAAATCCTACAGTTCTGTTTCTGATTTGAGGCATTTCTATTTTTATTTTCTTGTTTTGAGATATTTATATCATTCTATTCATGATTTTAGCTATTTCTTCTGCTGTTTATTTTAGCCTTTTCAGATCAATTTTCTTTAGAATTCTGTGAAAGTTTTATGAGATCCTATAAAATCGATATTTTTAACTATTTAGAAGCGAAAAAAATAGTGTGTTTAAATGTTTTTTAAATTCTATCATGGATTTTAATAAGTTGATCTGATAGAATACAAATATAGTCTTTGATAATTTAAATTGATTCATTATTTAAAATCACGAAAAAAACAAGTCTGTAAAATTAAAAAAAACAGATAAAAATTTAAGTCTGTTGAAAAAATAGGAACCTTTTTAGAGTTTCTTCTACTCTATTGTTTAAGGATGAGAAAGAAGACGACATTGAAGAGCTGGATGCAGTAGATCTTGCTGCGGACGAGTAGAAATGCCGCGAAGAATATTAAAAGTGTAATGCCCAGAATCTTGCCAAATTTTATAATGCGTTTTTTTTAAAGAATGTCTTCAATCTCAGCATAGTGTTGGGGGGGGGGTCAGGAAGAGCTATTTCAGTTTATGCTAAGCAACTTCTTTTCTGAAAGAAAATCTGCTCGAATATAAGAACACAATAATGTAATTTTATTACTTTTTTATCAAATAAAAGCAGACAAAGAAATTAAATCTTTGCCACAAACTCTGATGTTCTAATTATATATCAACAACCCCATTGTCGTAGACCTTAGATATTTCAAACAATGAATTATGTTAGATGAAATAATTTAAGTCTGGAAAAACAAAAGTTTACACCGTCAGGTTGCAAAGATATTAGGAATAGAAAATTTGAGTTCGTGTCAAAGACTCAATTTCTTGAAAAATAAAAAATCAGTGTATGTTTCTGTTTTAAACTTTTTTTATATCATACAAACCAGAGTTTTTTGAGCATGGAAAGTTATTTTATTTATTTAATGATTTAAAATTAGTTTTCGCTATATCTAAAAAATCTGGTTTTGAATAAATTCAAAGATAAATTGATAAAACAGTCCTCCTCGGGCACACCGTTAATTCAAGCTTGGAACTTTTGAGCGCAGGATAGATCCTTAATCTTGAACACTTGATCTTGATATCCTATGTTGGCATTTTTACCTTTAAGAATAATGTTTGATCCTTCAATCAAAGGTATCCCTGCATGATTATGACCATCACGGGCAATAGATATACCGTAGGTCTGCATTAAATAGATATACCGTAGGTCTGCATTAAATAGATTAACCGTAGGTCTGCATTAAATAGATATACCGTAGGTCTGAATTAAATAGATATACCGTAGGTCTGCATTAAATAGATATACCGTAGGTCTGCATTAAATAGATTAACCGTAGGTCTGCATTAAATAGATATACCGTAGGTCTGAATTAAATAGATATACCGTAGGTCTGCATTAAATAGATATACCGTAGGTCTGCATTAAATAGATATACCGTAGGTCTGCATTAAATAGATATACCATAGGTCTGCATTAAATAGTTAGGATGTAGGTCTGCATTAAGTAGATATATAATAGGTCTGCATTATTTTGATTGAGATCAATGTTTGATCCCAATGTTCAAAAGACAAAACTTTTCTGTTCCAAATGTTAAATTACGAACATCCCTACCTACTGGCTGTAAAACAGGCCCCCAAAGGACGACTTGTATGAAATTTGCTAAACACAAATATCAGATCGAACAAAAGCAAACCCAATAATTCATAATTCATAATTTTATTTATCAAAAATAATTATTGAAAATTCAAAGATATTTGTAATTAGAAAGTGAGCTTTTCGTAAATGAATGATGAAAAATGAACAATAAAAAAGATATCGTAAACAAATCAGAAAAATGTTTTTCCAATTTGTTGAATAATATGTGTAATCAATACGAATATATATAGTTAGAATGTGTTTAGATATATTTGTGATATAAAGTTTTTGAATTAGATAAATATTTTGTATATTTACACAGACTATAGTATTTAATTAAAAATAGAAATTTATTTAAAGTTTATTTATTCAATCTTTGATTATCTACCATCCAAACAGAGATTAATACTTTATATATATAAAAATATCGATATATCCTTATCTTGTTTGTCTGGGTGTTTCTTTGTTACCGATAAACGGCTGAACCGTTCGGGCCCAAATTTGTTGTGGGACCTCACATGACCCCAGAGAAGGTTTATGGAACTTCCAAATTGAAAAAAAATTTCTGGAAAAAAGGAATGATATATACTTTGGAGAAACAACCTCAGCGGGAGCGGTTGAAAGAAGAGTTGAGATCTAGCCTAGTCTCTATACGCAGTCTAGAATAAGAATAACACCATTTTTCTCAAATTTAAAATTTGTTCAAACGCTAAAAATGTACTATTTTTGTTAACTTTTTTTCCACTTTTGAAAACTCTTTTATTAGTTCAACCGCTATGAAATACAGGTTTTTGTTTTCAACCGCTGGGCTTAAGATTTTTCAAAATCTAAAACCCAGCGGTTGAAAACAAAAAAGTTTCTGAAAAAACTTAAGCCAAACGGTTAAAGAAAACATTTTTCATGAAAAACTGTTTTCAAGTGGTTAAAAGCAACCCAGCGGCTGAAAGCAACAATGTTTTTCAAGAAAAACTGTTTTCCAGTGGTTAAAACCAACAAAATGCAAAAATGCTGTTTACTAAAACTTTGGTTAATAAAATGTTGGTTGCCAAAATGTTGGTTACTAAAATATTGGTTACTAAAATGTTGGTTACTAAAATGTTGATTACTAAAATGTTGGTTACTAAAATGTTGATTACTAAAATGTTGATTACTAAAATGTTGATTACTAAAATGTTGGTTACTAAAATGTTGGTTACTAAAATGTTGGTTAATAAAATGTTGGTTACTAAAATGTTGGTTAATAAAATGTTGGTTAATAAAATGTTGATTACTAAAATATTGGTTACTAAAATGTTGGTTAGTAAAATGTTGGTTACTAAAATGTTGGTTACTAAAATGTTGGTTAGTAAAATGTTGATTACTAAAATGTTGATTTCTAAAATGTTGGTTACTAAAATGTTGATTACTAAAATGTTGATTACTAAAATGTTGTTTATGCCTAGGGATAGGCGTCGTTCCTAGGGTAGGGAACGGTCGTTCTTTAACGGGAATAAACGGAACGGACAGGAACGAACGATTTTTAAAAAGTAGAAACACGCCCAGTCCATAATGTTACCAAATTGTTAGTTACCTAAAATCCGCCCATTTAATGATTTAAAGTTATTAGTTTACATCATCCTTCAGGTCGTCAAAACAGAATATTATCCTTGGTATTTTCATTTTTTGGTGTTAAATATGACAAATGGAGCTCAAGAAGATGTTTGTGTATTGGGTTTTCGACTAGGGATGGACTGGTACATTAGTCACTGTTATAATATCTCCATCACTGGATTAATTATATTTTCAATAAAAGCCTCAATCTGTCTTTTCAAGGTGGGTTCAGGTGTTTAGTCAGTATTTTTTCCATCAAATAGTCTTATGGGATTATTTTTAAATTTTTTTTTTTGAGTTTTTGCCATCTTCTATCTCCTTTTGTTTTTTAATATGTTGAGTTTTATCATCTAGTATAATTTTTTAATTCTAACACCCTTTATATGAATTACTAATATGTAATATTCATCTATTATACACTATATAATAGCTATTCATAATCCAAACACAATATTTATCTAAACACTAAAATTTATATCATAAACTTTAGGTTCATTAAGGCCCCCCCCCAAAAAAAAAAATCCCCCAAACGTCGCACAGTCTCTAAATATTTAACCCTCCTTTTTCCCTCCCCTAGTCCCCTTATATAATACAAAAAGCTCTTATTATGATATAAAATTCTGTATATGGAGATATTTTTAAATATTTTGTAACTATTAAAGGCTATCCCCCCCCCTCCCATCCCCCACCCAAATACGTATGCGGAAGCTACGCAACTTGTTCTGGGTGTGTTTTATGCAAGATGCGTAATCATAGTTGACGGCTAACGGTGAATTTGATTCAAAAATGCGTACAGGCCACAATTTAACTCGGTAGAATGCATGTTTATTATATAACCTCGTGGCGGGGAGATAGGCTCTGCATCACACTTGTCAGTCGGTTTAAACTTGTAATATCTTATACTTTTGGATTTAATATTGCTAGATAAAAAAAGATGTATAGAAGAATTAAAATCCGAACAGATGGAATTTATCTTTAAAACAAGAATATATCTGAATAACAAAGATATATCTCAAAAACAAAAATATATCTAACTAACCAGAATATATCTGAATAACAAGAATATATCTGATTAACCAGAATATATCTGAATAACAAGGATATATCTGAATAACAGGGATATTTCTGAATAACTAGAGTATATCTGTATAACAAGGATAAATGTGGTTAACAAGAATATATCTGAATGACAAGGATATATCTGAATAGCAAGGATATATCTGAATAGCAAGGATATATCTGCATGACAAGGATATATCTGAATAACAGGGATATTTCTGAATAACCAGAGTATTTCTGTAAAACAAACTTATATCTGAACAGAAAGAATATATCTAAATAACAAGGATATATGTGGTTAACAAGAATATATTTAAATAACTAGGATAAATCTGGTTAACAAGGATATATCTGAAAAACAAGGATATATCTGAATAACAAGGATATATCTGAATAACAAGAATATATCTGAATAACAAGGATATATCTGAATAACCAGAATACATCTAACTAACAAACTTATATCTGAACAGCAAGAATATATATAAATAGCAGGGATATATCTGGTTAACAAGAATATATCTGATTAACCAGAATATATATGAATAACCGGAATATATCTGAACAACAAGAATATATCTGATTAACCGGAATATATCTGAACAACAAGGCTATATCAAAATAACAAGAATATATCTGATTAACCAGAATTTATCTGAATAACAAACTTATATCTGAACAGCAAGAATTTATCTAAATAACAAGGATATATGTGGTCAACAAGAATATATTTGAAAAATAAGGATATATCTAACTAACAATGAAATATCTGAAAAACAAGAAAATATCTGATTAACTAGTATATATATGAATAACAAGGTTATATCTGAATAACAAGAATATATCTGATTAACCAGAATATATCTGAATAACAATGATATATCTAAAAAACAAAAATATATCCGAATAACAAGGATATTAAATAACACGGATATATCTAAATAAGAAGAATATATCTGAATAACAATGATATACCTAGATAATAATGATATATAAATTAAAATAATATATATGAATAACCAGGATATATCTGAATAACAAGAATATATATGAATAAGAAATATATCTAGATAACAAGAATATATCTAAATAACAAGAATATACCTTAATAAAAATGATAAATCTGAAAAACAAGGATATATCTGAATAACAAGGATATACCGAAATAAAAAAATAACAGGGATATATCTTTACGACAAGAATATATCTGAAAAGAAGAATATACCTGAATATCAAGAATATATATCAAATAACAAGAATATACCTGAATAATAATGATATATCTGAATAACAAGGATATATCTAAATAACAAGGATATATCTGTACGACAAGAGTATATCTGAAAAGAAGAATATATCTAAATAACAATGATATATT